CGGGTAGCCCCCCAGGCCGTTGGCCCCGAACGCCGCCGCCTCGGCCCCGGGCCCGTAGGCGAGACCCGACTGGCCGTAGACGGGCGCGGAGGCGGCGGCCGCGGCGTTGAAGTCGTAGGCGGCGCCCTCGGGGTAGCTGTAGACGGCGGGCTTGCCGCCGTCCGCGTACACCTCCCCCAGGGGTCGCTCCAGGGGGATCTTGAGCTGCGGGCGGTTCAGGGGCTCCAGCTCGCTCCCCTGGATCTGGTGCAGCAGGGCCATTCCGGACGCTTTGGTGTGGAGGGTCATGGTCATGGTCAGCGGCCGCGGGCAAGGTGCAGACGGTCTCCCCGCGCGGCCGAGGGCTCAGCAGCCTACGGGCCACCTGCAAGAAGAGGACAGCCCGCGGTTAGAGGCGGCGCGGCGCACGTCCCGCCGCCGCGCTGCGACTCGAGCTCGGCTCAGTCCCGGAGCCCGCGCGTCCCCTGGATCCCGGAGACCAGACACCAGCCGAGCGCAGCCAACTCCCGGGGCTCCGGGGCTCCAACTTTAAGTACCGGTCTCCCGGGCTCATATGCATTACAAAGGTGCTGGAAGCGGGCCAAGGACTGTTACCTCGCGCTGACATTGGCTTAAACATCACTCCAGGCGCAACTCGTGGTTTTTTGGGGAGGGGGGGGTTTGGAGAGACCCCCAGAGAGCAGCTTCCCTGAACTTGACTGGTCGCTGCTGGATGCGGGCTGAATTTTACTGCCTGCCGGAGGGTGGAGGCGCAGAGGGATCTCCTAAAGGTGGCCCAGGGAAGACAGTGTTTGAAATGAACTTGGAAGACTAATCCAGGGGCCGGTTTTCTCGAACGCGCTGCCTTATGTGCCGGGTGCCAGACTCCAATCTATCTCTGTTTGTCTCTCTTGCTGTTGGATTCGCTCTCCTTGTTGGCTGGAAAGCTGTAGTGTGTACATAAGAGTGACCCTGGGGAGGACCACTCTGTAACCGAGATATGGAGATAGAATGGGGTGCGCGCAGCCAGCCACAGACAGCTAAATTTAGCAGCAGCTGCAGGGACCGAGAGGAGGCATCTGGGGCAAGGGAGGCGGAGACTCAAGGTGTTCATATAGGAAGAGCAGTATTTTGCAATCAGGCGAAGGCTGAGGGACCTGTTTCCTCGTGCAAAGTTGTCCCAAAGTGGCCCCTTCCAGCCACAACCTTCTGTGATTCTCCCAGCCCGACTTGCATGTTTGGGTTGGACCACTGTGTTGTATTTGCTCCCATCAGGAATCCTGTTGTGAATGATGATTTACAAAAACCTCTGGGTAGGTGCACACGAGTGTTCATGCCTTTCACAGGTTATACAACTAAAACTTCAGAAAACTGAATATGAAATGCGACCTTTTTATACAAAAGGTAACCTCAGGTCATTAACCACATCTTTGGCAATTATGTCACACTGTTGGTCTACCCACAAATTTTAAAATGCAAGAATACATTTCTGTTCTTTAATCGTACAATTGGACCTTCTCAGTTCACATGGGCTGGGACATTCAGAATCTAACATCCAGAAGAAAAAAAAAAAATAGAGAAAAGTTTTGAACTGAATTAAAAGCTAAGGCACACCCACCATATATATGGTGATATATATGTATACACATACACACACATAATATTATGCTCCTATAATCTTGGATAGTTAGTACTTTTAAAAAACTTCCTTTGCCCCAGTCCAATAGGCTGATACAACTATTAATACTTTGCTTTAATTTCTATCCCAAACACTCAACGTAGTACCTAACAAAATGTTCAGGCCATATATTATAAATGTCAAGGTTGCTGTTACTAATGGTAATATTTTTGGATCTCTGTATACTAATAAGTACACATTTCACCTAATTATAAGAACAGACAGATCATTTGGAGACAATATGCAGATGTAGCTGATTTAACATGAAGCCAAAATTGAACTTGGCATCAATAACTATAGATCGTAAGCAAAGAAAGGGTTAACACCACATTAAGTGAATCACAGATATTTCTCTTTATGACCAGCAACCATTACTTTCCAAAGCAATTTTTTTTTTTTTGCAGATGATTTCGTTCCCGTAAATCACACTTTCAATTTTCAAATGTCTTTTTTTAAACCCATGCAAAAGCACTTCATAGGGCTCTTCACCAATCTGAATCTGCCAAATTCTATAGAAATTACACAAAGAATCCTACAAGTCCTGAAAGCAAACGGAGATGCACACAAAAACCCATGGCAAGCAGCAGACCCTCGTCTCCCTGCCAGGATACAGACACTGGCCAGGAAGGTAAGTTGCTTTCTCAAAATGCGAAAGCTGCGAAGAGAGAAAGGAAAACAATCCTACCCTGCTGGATCGAGCGCATCTTTCCAGAAGGGTTCCATGGGCTCGCAGAAGTCAAGAGCCGAGGACAGTGAGAGGGAAGGGAGGAATGCGTGTGGCTCCGTGTGTGCGCGAGGCAGAGCGCGTGTGGATGCTTGTGTGTGGAATGGCAGGGATTCGGGAAGCAGCCAGTAGGCAGGGCACTTGGCAGCCCCTCCCGCAGACACCGAAGCGGGGCTGCTGCTCGCAGCTAGATGAATGGCAGGGAGGGCTGGGCAGAAGCCTGCTGTCTGCTCCTGGAGAGCAGGATGGCACAGCCCCAGTCGGTGTTCTTGGGGGGAAGCAGCACTCCGGCCCCCTTTGCTCTTTACCCTGGGAGCCTGGAAAGTGACCCAGGCTTTCGGCTGCCACCCTAAGCAAGAGGGAAAACAGGCTTGCTGTAAATCATAGGCTCATGGCGCAGAGAGTGCCAGTCGAAAGTGTATGGATATCAAGTTTACAGAATGTGACACGGGCGGTTTTTCCTAAAGAATATAATTTAACAATAAAAGCCTTCTGGGATGCACTTGGATCGAGTGCCTTGCTGGCCCCAGCCCCCAGCCTCTGAACAGACACACTATTGCCATGCCTCCGATTGCACCAGGAAACCAGACTTTGGAATAAATGTTTTGGCATTCTAGGGATGTGTTTCCAGCTGAAATGTAATACTCCTCCACCTCGTTAACCAAACCCACAAACCTTTCCACGAATGGCTCAGATGACTGCTTTCTGTAAACATATGAAAAAAATATATTAAAAGTTGGGGTATGAAGATAAGACAAAGGTGGGTACCTTTGTTTTAAACCGATTGTAGGCTCTGTGACTGCAGTGGCACTGATCGTGGGGAGGGGAGTCTCTCCTTTCCCGGTGGTGCCCACGTGGATCTAGCCGGTCTTCAACTTTTCTCTTGACCATGGTACTGAGACCCCACAATAAGGTGTTCCCAGGGTGCCTTTGCCCAGGGTCCCAGGACTCGTGACTCCTAATGGAGATTCTGTTGCCAGACATTAGTCATTGTCTTGGGTATTAAATGACTAATCACAATGCCAGGAGTGGCCAGTCTCTGGCCCTGGGACCCCATGCAGTTACAGAGAGATTTATGAGCGGCTCTTGAGACCAGTACAAAGAAACAAGTAAAAAGTTTTAAAAGTTACAAAAATGTTAGTGATGTCATACTGCAAATATATATTTCCTGCTATGAAAGACCTAAAGTATTGCAATGTTGGAGCACAGAAGCCCTCGCTCCTCAATCAGCACTAAAGACAAATACTGGAAAGAAAGACAGTTACTCCTTTAGGTGACAGTGGGCACCCTGACTCCCCCTTTAGATGAGCAATGGCCACCCGTGCTCAAGGTCAATCCAAAATAAACAAGAATGCACAAGGGGGGAGGAGAGGGGAAGACAGGAGGGAGGAAAGAAGGAACATTGGAGGAAGGAGAATCACCAATATTCTCCCTGAGCAGAGGAAGGATAAGAGGCCGACAGACTCCTGAGTGTGGAGACTAACAATCAAAATGCCCAACAAGGCAGTTTTCTTGAACATTTTTTCTCCATTACAGTCTCTTCCCCTTCTTGGTAAGGTTTGTCCCCTGGCTTGGTGACAGTGGGGACGAGGGGGGGTGCCTCACCTTGCCAGCTTCCTTCCAGCACTTCTGGCTCTCTCCAGGCTCCCCCCCTACACTGTCCTGTGCATGTGCTCACCCCGGCTGTGACTCGAGGGCACACGGGTCAAGAAAGGTCAGGTGTCCTTCTCGAGCTCCCCCGCGGAGTCTATCTCCAGACGCACTTTCCTAGTGGTCTCCTGGGCATTGCCGGCTTGTTCAAAACATGCTTCATCTCCCCTCCCCCCCAAAGCATGGTGTTCCTCCCAACGAACCCAGCCTGTGAACAGCTTCCCTGTCCCTGCAGTCCCCAGATGAAAGCCTCACGGTCTTCCCTGAGGGCTCCCCAGTTGCTGAGCGTCCTAGCTGGGCCACCTGCCCTTTGCTCTGCCCCTGTCACCCTCCTTTGGGCGCTCCAGTTTGTAAGAGCCCGTGGTGGTGGGAAGAGCCTGCTACGGACTCTGCCTCTTCCCTGCTCCCACTCCTCCCTAGATCCTGCTGCCTCGTATTTCCTTGGTGTCACTGCTTCGGGATCCACCTTCTTCGACCTGCTCCACCCTCGCCCCAGCTCATGCTTCCCCAGGAGCTCGGGCCCCCCTTTCTTCCCATGAATGAATCCTGCCCAGTGTATCTGCTCCATGTGCAGCTGGTCCTTCAACCAAATGCAAACTCGAGACTCCAAGCGCTCAGTGCTTTCCCGATGACCTTCTCTCTGCCCCTGACCCCACCCCACCCCCAACTTTGCTGGCTTGTCAGGGGAAAGCATACGACTTTCGAAGGTCTAGCCAAAATGCCACCATGTCCATAATGCCTTTCTTATTCAGAGGGAACTTCCTCTCCTCCGAACTCTCATGGAATTTCTCATGCATTTATTGCATTCTTTCCTGAATTAGTTATTATTATACAGGGTGGGGCAGAAGTACATTTGCCTTCGTGAGTATGCGAAACAGAGTTTATTCTCGCATTATGATTTATTAATTATTGTATTATTTTCCATACAAACAACTGTAAACCTACCTTTGCCCCACCCTGTATTTGTCATCCCCTCACCCTTCTCAGAAGCCCCTTGAGAACAGGGCATGCAGAGAGCTATTTGGGGATTCTTTGAGCTCCTAGCACTGCGTCCGGTCACATGAGGTCATTGAAGATTGGCTAATGTATGAATCCAAATACTTAAAAGAATAAAATAATATTACATCTACCTGGAGAACCATCTCCAAAAGCTAACTTTCCATGTAATGTTCTACCATTTTCAAAACCGTTTTTGCTAAAAAAAAAAAAATTATCTTTGTACCCTCAAATTGACTCAGGCCATAAAGTCAAAAATTCAAATTCATACTATCTCAAGGATTAAGCCTGCAATTCTTGGCAGCGTGATTCACAAGAGAGCCCTGAATTTTTAGTTCAGAACCAGATAATACTATGACCAAACATAGTTTCTGCTCTAGCTCCATTAAAAGCTTTTTACATTTACAAAAACATTATTCCTCCAACAGAAACATGAAAAAATAAATGTAGAAATGTTTCCAAAATAGTTTATACTCCTAGAAATGGTTCCTCCACTCTGAGACATGAAGGTCTAGCTATTATTTTTATTATAAATGCTGTTTGGGAGCTTGTCGTACTGCATTTATTTGACACCATCTCTTTTCCCCTAAAGTGGAAGAAAAATGAAGAATTTCCTTTTCATTTTAAAAATAGTTTCATCCTATTTGTTTGAAGGGCTTTTGATTAGCTCATAGACTTTTCAACTGACCTTTGATTTTTGCTTTATGAGATAAAATTTATATGCAGTGACGTGTATATCTTTCGTATAGAATTTGATGGATATGCCCATATGACAACCATCTTGGTGAAATCTTAGAGCATTTCCATCACTTCGAGAAACTTCTTTCATGCCTGTTCTAGCGAACCCCTAGCCCCTACAGGCAACCACTCTTTTCACTTCCATCACCACAGATGTAGTTTGCCTCCCAGCTGAGTGGGGACCACATAGATCCCATGTCCAACCAATGGCACAAACAACCAGGTACTGGGTTTGTGGCTTTGCCAGGGCATCAAGGTACAGAGATATCCTTCTCACAGTCACACCCCTCTACTGGGAATAGCGCCCTCAAGGCCGCAGAATTATTCTAACAGTCTTCTCTTTTTCATAATAATAGGCTTTACATGATCAAATGTTACCTAAACCAGCAAAGATGCAAGTTAATAACAAGCCAAATGGAATCAAATTCTTAAACAGCCTTTTCTTTCCACCCCCACTCCAAAAAATATATTTTTTTAATGATTTAGAAGCCAAGAATCAAACCCAAGATCCTTACTTTCTCAAAGCCTGGGACCTTGATGCTATTTCCTGGCTTCTACCCAGGGCTTGATGGAGATAGCTTGAATTTTTGGTTGTCAAGCAGAATGGATACTCTTCATTGTGAAGCGATGAGTGGTTCAGATTTAATTTACCAGCTTAATAGAATTTAGTAGCTTTCATCTTACATTTTCTTTAAAAACTAATTTTTTTAATATTGTGGAATCTTTTTATATAACTTATCTATATTGCATGTGGCAGAAGACAATTTAGAAAGTACTTTCACTATAAGTGCCACGCGTGATAAAAGAATTCCAATTATTTCAATTATTATTACACTGTGTGCCTCTTCCTCCCTTTATCTGTTGTTTACTTGAGGAATCTCATTGCCAGCTTTGGGTATTTTATTTCTCTGTAGAGAGCAATATCCAAATCCATGTTGATTCAAATAGTCCTATCTATTTGAATAGATAGGACTATTCACACACACGCACACGTAATCAACCAAGAACCTACTTTGCCCAAATACAGAACCAACCCTAGTCAAGTGGTTAAAAAAAAAAAAAAAAGGAGATTCATACATTTTAAGCCTTTTCAGGCCTTTCTTCTTACTGGTTAACAAACTCATCTGGGTAACTGACTCCCTCCCACTCTCCCTAACCACCCAGGGACCCCCATGCTAGCCAATGTCCCTCTCTCCCCCTTCTCCAACCCCCTCAGTTACAATCACATTCTCTCAAGAAAGTGATACATTTAGGACTATGCCAAGGAATGACTCATTTATTCAGTTCACTCAAAAAATACTGATTACCTACTATTTACGGTGAGCATTTCTTTTTTTTTTTTCCTTAGTATATTAGTATTCTGCTGCATCACAAACTGCCACATATGCCCAGTTTAAAACAACATATATTTATTATCTCACAGCTCGGGTGGGTCAGGAGTCCAGGCACAGCTCAGCCTGATCTCTGCCCAAGGTCTCACAGGCAGCGGCCAAGCAGTCAGCCAGGGCTGTGATCTCATGTGAAGTTGGGGTCCTCTTCCAAGCTCGCAGGGGTTTTGGGAGAATTCATTTCCATGCAGCTGTAGAATTTGTCGTGGCTTA